GAGTGGTGGTGATGACGTATCTATCTAAAAAACCTAMTGCAGAACCGCCGTGCCTCTGAGACCAGGCCTGGCACACAGCAAGGGCCGCACTGGCGCTGGTTGATCAGCCACCGACGACTCCCTCCTGAGCATTCTGGGCCACCGCTCACACTGTTCCCTTGGTTTGCATTGTCCCTGATGGCTGAAATGTCACACAGTCATTAGGCTTCTCCGTGTTGTTCTCACTCCGACTCCCCCTTGGACTTGGTCCTCCCTGTCTGCTCGTGGCACTTGTCACTTGTCCTGCCCGCCGCCTTCTTTGTAGTCTGTCGCTTTCTTTAGACTTTGCATCTCTTGAGAGTCAACACACAAGGGAGATAGTGGAAGAATGGCATTTGGAGCCAAAGTCCCCTAATTTCAAGTATCTGTTTTGCTATTTTCTGGTTGGGTGGAATCAGCGTTGACCTTTTTGAGCCTCATATTTGAGATCTTTCAGAAAGAATAAATACCCTGATGTTGGCTGTCTACCAAGGAGTACACAGACAGCTCCTGGGTAGAGGGTGCTCTGGAAACATCTCCAGGTCTGAAATGTTAATGATGTATCCTGAAAGTGGTTGTCGACACCTTGATTTTGACCCTCATAAATTAAGGTAAGCTTTTTAAAACTCCCTTTTATGTCTGTTTTTTTTTTTTTTTTTTTTGGTTCTGGGAATTGGATCCAGGGGCACTCTACCACTGAGCCACATCCCCAGCCATTTTTAATAAGTTTTATTTTTAGAGAGGACCTCACTAAGTTGCCAAGGTTGGCCTTGAACCTGTGATCCTCCTGCCCCAGCCTCCTGAGTAGCTGGGATCACAGGTGTGTGCCATTGTGCCTGGATTGTGTCTGGTTTTACTGTCAATCATCGTCCCAGAAGCACTGTGGGACCAAGACTGAGGAGGGTGGACCGTGGCCAGTCTCTAAGGTGCAAAGCTTGTGGTCACGTTTGCCTCTTCCACTCTGCCTCCTGTTCCTTTGACATGCCTCTCGATGTCCCCTTTCTTCCTGCTCCCGGATTCCCTTCGCCTTGAGATTCAGCGGTTAGTGTCCCCCTGTTGGACTTTGTGTCAGGGTCATTTGCTTGGGAACTCTCTCTGAATCCCACCCTAGGTTGACACTGCTGGCCAGGCCAAGATGGCACCCACTCCACCTTCGCACCACCCAGTTCACCTCTAACGGCCTTCACATACCAGTCTCCTGAGGCCACCGCTGCCCGCATGCCCCGTGCAGCCCGCATGCCCCGTGCAGCAAGCCTCTGTCCCCACCCTGCTGCAGGGCCGCTGCTGCCCAGGGCCAGCCCTTCGCTGCTCTGGGGCCAGTTGGCTCTGGCTTGTCAAGGCCAGAGGACTCGTTTTAGGTCAGCTCCTTGTTTGTGGATTTCCTCACCCACACGCCTTTCCCCCGTCCCTCATCTGAGCCCTGCTCCTCTCCAGTGCCACATCCTCTGAGAATCCTTCAACAGAGAATCTCCAGGGAGTCTCTTCCAGGGACTCCGTATGGCACTTGGTTCTTCTGTTAACCATTTGGGAACTTAATTATGTAAACGGTTTATTGAGCAGCATAATATGTTCCCTTTTTCCCATTCCTTAATGGAAACGGGAATGACTCCAAAATGTTATAGTCACTTTTGAGGCTGAAAATTCAGTCTTAGGAGGCTGAGGGGGTAGCTCAGTGGCAGAGCATGGCTTAGCATGTGCAGGGCCTGGGTTCACAGGACCAAAACAAAACAACCAACCAAAACACCCGAGACTCGGTCTAAGAAAAATTACGATATAATCTGTCTCCTCTCCCCCGCTCTCTGTCTCTCGCCCTCCCTCGCTCTCTCTCAGGTCTCTGATCTCCTGGGGAGCTCCAGGTGTCCTACATGTGGTTCAGAGCTCCTCTCCTGTCCCCCTGGAAGCCAAACCAGAGCTACAACCCTCCCAGCTGCAGGTAGGGATGGGGAGACGGGGATGAGATGAGGGAGCAAGGGAGCGGGCCGCAAGATCATGGCCAGGCAGGAGAGCTCTGCCCCTCTTTCTTTCCTTCTGTGGCGTTGGCTGGGATGGAGCCCGGGGCCGTGCAGGTGCTGGGCCCATGCTCTACCTCTGGGCGGAGGCCCGGGCTGCCCCCTCTGTCAAGGCTCAGCTCTTCTGACCTTGGCCTTATTACTTGAGTGCCCACCTGCTGCTGTGTGTTGGGGAGGTGTCTCTGCTCACCCCGAGGCTCCGTCAGCCTCTGTTTGATGGCAGGGACCTGCTGACCTGGTCTCGCTGTCAGTAAGCATGGCTCTTCTCCAGGAGGGGCCTTCCTGGCCTGACCCCTGCTGCCCCTGGCAGCCGTCAGCATTTCCACACTTTTCCTGGGGTGAGTGGTCTCATTACTTGGCTCCAGAAAGTAGCCGGGCAGTTTCAAGGCTCTGATCCCCATCCCTGTAGCACAYGTGCCACAGGAATGACTGGGACGGGCAGTGTGGCTCCGTCATCTTCCCCACACATCACCCCGCCCTGAGTCACAGTGGCCTTTGGCCTTCAGAAACCTCTAGAGCAGACATCTCCTGGCCACTAACCTCTGTCCTTTAACTCCTGGGGAAGGTGGCCAGGAGCCCTGTCACCAGCGGCCGTTCATCTGTAGGCCAGTGTCACCTTGCAGGGCTCCCCAGGAGAGCTGACCTGCTYTAGCATCTTGTCCCCTCACTATCTTACTTAAGCTTGATGGATTTGGGTTTTGCTGATAAGAATCAAGAGTCCTGGAGAATGTTCATGTTCATGTTCAATTCTGCAGGATTAACTTATTCAACATAAAGGGGAAAATGCAGGAATATTAGTAGAAAATTAAAAAGAAAACTTGTATGATTTTGGGGTAGGACTTGTTTTCCTAAAAATTGCACAAAATGCCCAGTGAGCATAAAGGAAAAGATTTATCTACATAAATATTACTTCTGTATGAGATCCAATATCACAAACACGGAATAAACATTGGGCCAAAGGCAACATTTGAAGCATTGTAACATATAAGTCAGAAAAGAATTAATATGCCCAATACATGGGAATCTCTTACAAATAGGAAAAAGAAATAATTTACTTAAAAAAAAAAGAGCAAACAATATGAACAGAGCATTCATGGAAAAATACAAATGATTCTGCTACTCGGGAGACTGAGGCAGGAGGATCGCAAGTTCAAAGTCAGACTCAGCAACTTAGCAATACCCCGTCTTTAAATTAACTTTAAAAAAAAAGGGGGGGTGCCGACGGAGGCAGTGGCCGGGACTGTGGCCCAGAGGTAAAGCACCTCTGGGTTCAATCCCTGGTACCAAAACAGAAAAGTACAAATGGTTAACAACTTTAAAAAGAGCCTTAGCTTCCCCAATACACTGGTAAATGAAAATTTTAAAAAGAAGCACACTTTCGACTATAGAATGGAAACCCCCAAAGCATTAAAGCTCTCTGGGGTTGCCACATCTGGCCGAGAGCTGACCTCCTCGCCCCCTAGTGTTGCCTTTGGGGAAAATGCTTTGACGTCTCCATTAACATTTCTTATGGCTGTAATCATTGTCTTGGCAATCCAATTGCAAGAAATCCCTCTACAGAAACGCTAYGGAAATGTACAAAAGGAAGTGAAAAATGAGTGACAATCCGGTTGCCCACCCCTACGTCCAATACCCCTGTGCTAATCAGTAGGGCTTGGCTAAAGAAACCCTATCAGTTCTGCAAAATGCTACGCAGCTATGAAAAAGAAGGGAGTGGGAGTGGGGCTGGGTGTTATCTCAAGGCAGAGCGCTTGCCCAGCATGCATGAGGCCCTGGGTTCCATCCCAGCACCACAAAATAAATAAATAAATGATAATAATAAATAGTAGTCTGTGAATCAATAACATGGAAAAATGTCTACCATAAGTGTAATTTTAAAATTTCCCTGTAGCCAGGCCTTGAATGCCTGTAATGCAGCTACTCAGGAGGCCAAGGCAGAAGGATCGAAAGTGTGAAAYCAGCCTGGGTAACATAGCRAGATCCTGTCTCAAAATCAAAAGGGCTGGGGAAGTGGCTCAGTGGTAGAGCACCTGGGTTTAGTCTTCAATACTGAAAAAATAATAATTGTCCTGTGGCACAGTAAGTGTGGTGGGATACATAGATGAAGGTGTTACATAGCATAAGGGAGAYGTACATGGGATTCAGGATGAGAATACCTGGGTTTAAATCCTGGCCCTGAGACGTTCTAGCAGTGTGATTTAGGTGACTCAGCTTAGCTCTYGGTGTCTCAGCATCCTCATAATAACGAGAATTAGTTAATGAACATAAAGCATTTAGCACACAGTAATGCTGTGGAAGTGTGAGCTGTAATCGTAACACCAACGTATTAACAGTGATCAGATGTGGGGTGTCACAGGGTGACCTTCACTTCCTGCCTCTCTTCTCTGTATTATTTTTAACTCTATGCAAAACCAAAAGAAGAAAAAAAAAATTGAGTCTGGAAGGAAAAGGGCCTCTCCCTGCCAGAGGGTATTTATTTTCTAAGAAAAATGACTCTTTTTGGAGGACCAACTTGGGGCACAGAATCAGAGCTGCCTCCCTCAGTGGAAGCTCCGTTTCACTGACAGACTTCTCGGGGTGGCATGGTTTTAAACAAATGGAACAGCTGGGACGCGTCTGTGGCTCTCGGCCTGTGAGAGCCAACRCTGAGGCTGCTGGCCTTACTCACGGTCCCAGAGGGGAGCTCATCCCATTTCCACCTGTGCTCTCTGCTGACCGCTCCCTGAGTTCTCAGCTCCCGCCTCCCTTTCTGCCCCACAGGAGCCGGGTGGCGTCCCTGGACCTTGGTTCTTCCACTGCCACTATCTCCTCCATCTCCCTAGGGTCCGTTTCCCTCGGGTCTTCCCGACCAGTGGTTCTTGACATCTCTGATCTGACACCTTCACAGTGGCTCAGAGGTCCCAAGGCTCCCTGGGCTACAGTTTTCAGTCCCCCTCAGGGGACAGGAGGAACCTGGAAGGGAGCGACTCTTACCTGGAAGGCTTCGTGCTGGGCTCCTTAATGAAGGAAGGCAGGGTGAGGAGGAAGAAGATCAGCGCAGCCACAAGCAAGGGCCACACTTGGCCCAGGCGCCTGAGTCGACTGAGTCTCCGTGGGCAGGACCTCATGCTGGTGAGTGGGGCCCTATGGGAGATTTCTCCATATCCTGGGGCTGGATGTGAACAGGGACGGGCTCCCCGCCCAGGCCTCCGGTCAGGGAGTGTGTACCCCGTCTTCACCGGGAGCCACWGTGGTGAGTGCGGAGGCTATCAGTCTCTGCCAGGGGAAGAGGAACCGCCTTCGCTGCTTTATGAAGGCTTATAGGCTGGCGTGGCTGCAAGGAAGAGAAACTCCTTTTGTTCAAACAAGTTCACCTTCCTTTTCTGTCTCTGAAGCCAATTTCTGAATGCAGAGCTTCGAGAGGACTACATCCATGAGAAGCAAGCACACTTTATCAAGTTCCTTGATCTGATCGCCTCATTCCCAAATGGGAAAAGCAGAGGCCCGTGCCTCTGGGCTGTCCCAAGGACACCGTGAGATCACCACATGCAGTAGTGCCTTGTTTATGGGAGGCACCGGCTCTCGGTCACCGTGGCCTTTCCACCTTCCTCCTCCTCTTCTGAAACCTTGTGCACTCCGCCAGGCACCCACCGTGCACGGAACCCACCGTGTGAGGCTTCACGGGCCCCAGGGCGACTTGCGCAGCCACAGGAGGGACCCTGGCCCTCCCCATTTCACAGTTAAGGAAACTGCCTCTGCCACCCAAGACCACAGTGCGCTGCTGGCTCCGGGTCCCCATCTGCCCAACCCAGAGGTGGCATTCTCCACCGCTGCCCAGCAGCCCTCTGAGAAATTAGCACCGCCTTGATTTTAGAAAAAAAAAAAAAAAGAAAGAAAGAAAAACAACATATTACTCTTGAGTGAAAATTACAACCCAGGTCAGTGGGGTGGAATAATCCACAGTTCACTTCCCGGTTCTCAGGTTCCAGCCCAATGCTGCCAGGCGTGTGAGGTCCAGGAAAAGACACGTTTTAGGGGAACTGACTCTAGGCATCATAATTCTTATGTTTGATAAATCTACTTTTATCTCTCTCTTTTTAAAACTAAAACTTTAGACTTTGGTCTTCTTTGTAAACCATCCAGCAGGGCGTGTGAGAACTTCTATGCAGATAAGAGTTATCAAAAGGTTATTTGCAGTGAAAAGTGAAGCAAGAAGATGATTGTCATTTCCTTTCACGAGTGAGAGGGGCAGACCAAGAGAGCGAGAGGGGCAGACCAAGAGAGAATGGTCGAGAGAGAGTGCAGAAGCTCAGGTTAGAGTAAGAATTGTTAAAAGGCATTGCACACTGGGGCAAAACTGGTTTTTCCACATCTTCTGTCACTTTTTCAAGCTGAGTTGGGTGTGAAGGGCTCTGGAGGGGAGTGGGACTTTCCCTGGAGGACCTTAAGCAGAGCTGGCTGATTCACCTGAGTGGCCACCGCTCGGCACTTCAYGGCCTCCCATCTTCACCTACAGACAGAGAGTACGTGTGTGTCGACGGCGCCCACAATTTTGAGTTGTCAATCTCCGAAAGGCCAGAGGAGAGCAGCTGCTCTGGACGGATGCCCTGCACCAGCAAGTGTGCCTTGGAGTCATTCAGGGTGGGACTTCTTGAAAAGCATCAGCCACTGGATCCTCTCTGCTCTGAGGGACATTCGATGGCGGAGAGGAATCCTGGATTAAGTGAAAGGCATTTCAACTTTTGGAAGGTTGAAAGCCCCACCCTGGAGCTGGTGGGGTAGAGGAAGAAAATTGCTTTTCCTCTGCCTTTCTAAGTTCTTGGCGGGGACCCCTGTCACAGGTGGCTTGTGACAACTGCAGCTTGTGTAGGATTGTCAACTCACATGGAAAGTCGGTGCTGGGAGAGGCGGGCAGAGGGGAGGCAGGCGGGAAATGCGTGGGTGCAGCGGTCACCTCGGCCGAGTGGGGCCGCAGCTCCCTCCGCCTGTCACCGTTCTTTTTCTTTATAAATGTAATTTTCCCTTGAAAAGGACAACTTCAACTCTGCTCTTAGACCTTTTCCTGGGCCTGCTGTTTCTCAAAATAATCAGTGGAAAATTATTCTGATGCCAAAGAGGCATATTTTGAGGGGTGGGGTGGCATATTTTGGTCTTCTACCTTGAGGGGCTGTGCTCAGGGCCCTTCTTATGTACCTGATCTTCTCAAATCCTGTACTCAACCTCCTGAGCCGCTGGGATTCCAGGCGTGCCCCACAGAGCCCAGCAAGAGCCTACTTTTAAAGATGATATCACCAGCAGATGTGTTCGATGTTTATCACTGTGTCTGGGCATCAGATGAGACACTATCTCAAAAAGGATGCAGCCCTATGTCAGCCTCCAAATAAAGGCACCGATACAAACTGTAAGAACCCAGGAAGAAGTCAGAGCCAGCAGTGTCTAAATAAATGGTGTAGGAACCCGGCTCCTATCTCAGTGGCTCTGTGGACCTAGACAGACCACAGGAACAAGAAAAACCTGGGATCGGGGCTGGGGCTATAGCTCAGCGACAAAGTGCTCACTTAGTACACGAAGGGCCCTGAGTTCTGTCCTCAGCACCACATAAAAATAAATAAATAAATAAACAAATAAGCAAAGAGATTGTGTACAACTACAACTAAAAAATAAATACTAAAAAATAATGATGATAACCTGGGATCAGTGGACTCAGTAGCTGTCTCATCCTGACCTTGGTGGAGGCCCGTGTCAGAGCTGTGAGCAGGTCCTCTGTGCAGAGGTGACTGAGGGAAGCGCCCCTGTCCCTGGTGTCCTTGCTTGGGGAGGGGGACACCGTCACATAACCAGCTTCACATTTTTCTTGGTCTGTGAATTGTCCCTGTCTGCGTGCGGTGTCAAGATCTGGACCTTCTTTAGGAGCAGTTGTGTTAGGTCCCAGACTTCAGGTGCTGGTGGGTCTTCTGTGGTGGCTATTATCGGGCCCTCCTGTGTCAGACTCTCCCTCCAGAGCCTCTCGGCTTGATTTTTCAGTGGGACTGACACAGGTGACCGCATCTTGCTTCTGATCACTCCATGAGCGCCTCACATTCCTGCCTTGTGAGTCTTTCTCGGGATGTCACCCATTAGTGTTGGGACTGTAAAATCAGGGTGTGACAGTTATGCTGTGAAACACAATGTCTTGTTGGTGGAATGACGCTTTTGCCAATGTGAAATGTCCCTCTTTATCGCCAGGAGAAGATTTCCTCTTAAAGTCTGTTTTGCCCGGTGCGGTTGCCCTGTGCACAGTAGGCTTTCATCCTTTTACTTGTAGCCTATTTGTATCTGAATCTGAAAAGAGCACATCCCGGGGGCTTCTTTCTGTGCCAGTCTGACGGCCTCTGACTTTGGGTCATTCAGACCGCTCCGTTTGTGAAGCAGTGATGTGGTGGGCTGACTTGTGCTGTTTTCCTTCCTTTCCCCCTCCCTCCCTCTTTTTTCCTCTCTCTTTCCCACCGGGGATTAAACCTGAGGTGGTCCACGACTGAGCTATGCCCCCAGCCCTTTTTATTTTTTGACCCATGGTCTTGCTACATTGTCCAGGCTGGCCTGAACTGGCAGTCCTCCTGCCTCAGCCTCCTAGTCACTGAAATTATAGGTGTRTGCCACCACACCCAGCTGCAATTCACTTTTATTATTTTTCTTTCTTTCTTCTTTTTGTACCAGGAATTGAACCCAGGGGTGCACAACCACTGAGCCATGTAACCAGCCCTTTTATTTTGAGACAGGGCCTTGCTAAGTGGCTCAGGGCCTCACTAAGTTTTTGGGGCTGGCTTTGAACTCACAATTCTCTTGCCTCAGCTTCCCAAGCTGCTGGGATTTTAGGCATGCACCACCACACCTGGTTTATTATTTTTTTAATTTCATATTTCTACCCTGTTGGGGATTGAACCCAGTGGTATCCTACCACTGAGCTGCATCCCCAACCTTATTTAGTTTGTATTTTGAGAGGGATTCTCAGTAAGATACTTCAACTTGAGCTCCTCCTGGCTGTGGTCCTCCCAGTCACTTGGATTACAGGTACATGCCATGGCTGCAGTTGCTTTTCAAATCAGTTAAAAGAAGAACTGAGCACATATGTGAGCATGCTGTTGCTTGGCATCCCCTGCATGGTGGCCTCTACTGAAGTGGCATCTTTTCATATGGATCTGAATCACCATCTTGGATAAGTGTGTTCTGCCTGAAGAACTTCTTTTAGTATTTCTTATACACCAAGTCTGCCAGCAATTAATTCTCTTAGTTTCTGCTTAATCTGAGATGTCTTTGTTTTACCTTCACTTTCAAATCATAGCTTGGCCTGATTTAGGGTTTTTGGTGGACTTTGCTGTGTTTCAAAAACATGTTTATATTGTTCTTAAAGCAAAGGGAGACAGTAAAACACCAAGTCCCTGAATGGCCCCCTTTCTGTCTCCAAAAACTCAGCCAAGTAAAGGGAACCCGAGAGCAAGGCTGGGCCAGCGTGTCAGGTACATTTGATCTTGAAGGACACTGGCTTTCTCTGTGCACAAGGGAACCAGAGTGAGTCGGTGCTRTCTGAGGACAGCTGCTTTCTTGCATCTATATCAGGACCCTTGCTCCTTGGGACGCTGGTCAGACAAGCAAGCTAAGCAAGTGGATGCTGATGACGTTACTACTTCTGCACCCTGACCTTGAAACACACCTCTCAGTGGTGATGGTGCAGAACCAAGGGCCCTGTGGATGGATGTGGCTGCCACTGGGCCAGGCGCTGTGCGAGAGAGGCCGCTGCTGGAGGAGGTGCCAGGAGGGCAGCGGTGCCGTCGGTTCCTTCACCTCCTCAGACAGCCCCGACCTCTTGTAAGCCTTCCCAGATAAACCAAGCGTCTTGCTCGATGTCTCCAGGCTCTTATTTTGGCCTTTTAGCCACTGACCGCACTGCCCTGGCACAGTTGGGCTGTGGAATACGATGCTTGCAGCTGCTCAGGGCATCTTCGTTAATGTATTCAACACCTGGGTGCCTGCAACAGCAGTTTCCTGGCCGGGTTCTTCCCCTGCGTGTGGCCAAGCTCCTACTTCATTGCATGTCTTGTAATTTTTCAATGAAAAACCTGTCATTTTAACTTATTATTTATTGTTTTGGTGCTGGGGACTGAACCCCCAGGGATGCTCTGTCACCAAGCTACACCTCCAGCCCTGTTTTAGTTTTTGAGATGGGGTCTCGCTAAATTGCTGAGGCTAACCTCAAACTTGGGATCTGCCTGCCTCAGCCTCCCAGATTGCTGTATTACAGGTGTATGCCACTGTGCCCAGCTAAACAG